AACATGTTAAACATAAGGGGGATATGATCTCCATGTTTAATACATAAGGGGATATGATACCATGAATAATACTAAGGGGGGGGTATGATCTCCATGTATAATACTTAAGGGGGGATATGATCTCCATGTATTATACATAAGGGGGGTTATGATCACCTGTATAAGACATAAGGGGGATATGATCTCCAGGTGTAATACATGAAGGGGGGATATGATATCCAATGTATATACATAAGGGGGGATTCTGATCTCCTTGTATAATACTATAAGGGGTGGATCATGATCTCCATGTTAATACCATAAAGGGGGGGGTTATGATCTCCATGTATAATACTTTAGGGGGGGGATATGTATCACCATGTATAATACATAAGGGGGATATGATCTCATTGTATAATACATAAGGGGGGATATGATTCTCATTGTATAATACAGTAAGGGAGATATGATCAAACATGTAAATCACATTAGGGGGGATATGATCTCCATGTATAATACATATGGGGGAGAATGATCTCCAATGTATAAATACATTAAGGTTTGGAATAATATGATCCTCCATGTGATAATACATAAGAGGGGGAAAGTGTATCTCCATGCAATAATACATAAGGGGGCGGAAATGATCACCATGTATAAAACATGTATAATACAAAAGGGGGGATATGAATCTCCATGTATAATATATTAGGGGGATATGATCTCCATGTATAATACATAAGGGGATATTGATCTCCATGTATAATACATAAGGGGGGATATGATTCTCCATGTATAATACATAAGGAGGGATATGATCTCCATGTATAATACATAAGGGGGGGATATGATCTCCATGTATAATACATAAGGGGGATATGATCTCCATGTATAATACATAAGGGGGATATGATCACCATGTATAATACATAAGGGGGGATATGAACTCCATGTATAATACATAAGGGGGGGATATGATCTCCATGTATAATACATACGGGGGGATATGATCTCCATGTATAATACATAAGGGGGGATATGATCTCCATGTATAATACATAAGGGGGGGATATGATCTCCATGTGTAATACATAAGGGGGGATATGAAACTCGGTGTAGAGTTATTCCCTCTGAGGTCATCACAGAGGACAAGGGGGCACTCTTTACGTCTGGAGAAAAAGAAATTTAATCTCCAAACACAGAAAGGTTTCTTCATAGTGAGAGCTGTGAAAATGTGGAATAGACTCCCTCAAGAGTTGGTTCTGGCCAGCACAGTGGATTGCTTTAAAAAAGTCCTGGATTCTTTCCTACATACACATGATATAACTGGATACTAACATTTATAGGTAAAGTTGATCCAGGGAATATCTGATTGCCTCTCGAGGGATCAGGAAGGACTTTATTCCCCTGTAGGAGAAAATTGGATCATGCTTTGCTGGGTTTTTTTGCCTTCATCTTGATCAGCTGTGGATATAGAATTATAACTTTTTTTGTTTGGTTGAACTGAATGGACTTTTGTCTTTTCTCAGCCAGACTAACTATGTACCTATATGCATAAAATATCTTTCAATGCACATACTGTATAATCTTATCGGAAGACTGTTGTTGAAATGAATGGTCTGCTTTCTTTAAAAACAATGAAAAAATTATTTTGGCAGGCAAATTAGCTATAAACGTATTGTTAAGTTAACTGATGCATACTTTCGCTGTTAAGTTTGCCCTGGACATCTACACATTGCTGATCCCTGAGCATGAAGGGGTTAAACAGGAACATTTTAAAAATGTAATCAATTAAATAAAGAAGTGAATTAGTGGACTGTTATTTAAAAAAAAATAGCTTAAATATATGCAAACACATTTGTCCAATATGTAGATAAAAAATTCAAGAACTCCAATCATGACATCAAACTGCTCACAAAGATACTCATGCTCAGCTTAACTCAGTATTAGGGTCTTTAATACATAGGGATCAGGTTGGTTTCATTCCCCATTGGAAAGCCCAGGATAACATCTGTAGAGCGACATTGCAACTGCACACGATCCATGATCTAAGTTTCCTTTGCACCTCTTGTCCCTAGACATCTGCAAAGCATTTGATACGGTCTACTGGCCCTTTAAGTAGTACATATTAGGTCAATGGAGTTTCGGCCCTAACTTTTCGTGGTGGATCTCATTGATGTATGCGAACCCGAGGGCATACATCCAATATATATATTGGTTGGACATTTTCTTTATAACTAGAGGGACTAGGCAGGGAGTGTCCTCTTTTCCACTGCTTTTCACATTGGCAATAGAGCCTCTAGTGCACCTTATTCATAATCATAATAACTCAAGCTTAAGAGGTGAAGTGGCAGGCAACCAACATAAGCTCTGCTTTTCCTCACCACACCTCTTATCTCTGCCCCTAATCTTCTTAATATACTAAATAGCTTTGCCTGGATCTTCGGTCTTGAGGTCAATTATAATAAATCCAGGGCCTTGAATGTTACCCTCACGGATGTGGAGGTTTGAGACTTTGTAGCACTCTACGTTCACTTTTCTCTTGTCTGACTGATAACTGAAACACTATATATATATATATATATATATATATATATAAAATGATTTGGAGGGGTGTGTATGTACATATATATATATATATATATATATATATATATATATATATATATATATACACAAACCCCTCCAAATAATTTGAATCAGGTTTTCCAATCATCTCCATTAGAGATGAGCGAATTTCTCAAAAATTCGATTCGGCTGATTCGGCGAATTCCAGTATGAAATTTGATTCAATGCGAATTAATTCGCTACGAAGTTAACTTATTAAAAGGGTTTCTAGGCTTCAGAGAGCCTTTAAATTAGTGCAGAACACTGTACCTTTAATTTAAATGCCCTTGGAGATGAGGAAGGAGAAGGAGAAGGAGAAGGATGAGAAGAAGGAGAAGGATGAGAAGAAGGAGAAGGAGAAGGATGAGAAGAAGGAGAAGGATGAGAAGAGGGAGAAGGAGAAGGAGAAGGAGGAGAAGGAGAAGGATGAGAAGAAGGAGAAGGAGAAGGATGAGAAGAAGGAGAAGGAGAAGGATGAGAAGAAGGAGAAGGAGAAGGAGAAGGATGAGAAGAAGGAGAAGGATGAGAAGAAGGAGAAGGAGAAGGAGAAGGATGAGAAGAAGGAGAAGGATGAGAAGATGGAGAAGGAGAAGGATGAGAAGAAGGAGAAGGATGAGAAGAAGGAGAAGGAGAAGGATGAGAAGAAGGAGAAGGAGAAGGATGAGAAGAAGGAGAAGGATGAGAAGAAGGAGAAGGAGAAGGATGAGAAGAAGGAGAAGGATGAGAAAAAAGAGAAGGATGAGAAGAAGGATGAGAAGAAGGAGAAGGATGAGAAGAAGGATGAGAAGAAGGAGAAGGATGAGAAGAAGGAGAAGGATGAGAAGAAGGTGAAGGATGAGAAGAAGGAGAAGGAGAAGGATGAGAAGAAGGAGAAGGAGAAGGATGAGAAGAAGGAGAAGGAGAAGGATGAGAAGAAGGAGAAGGATGAGAAGAAGGAGAAGGATGAGAAGAAAGAGAAGGAGAAGGAGAAGGATGAGAAGAAGGAGAAGGAGAAGGATGAGAAGATGGAGAAGGAGAAGGATGAGAAGAAGGAGAAGGATGAGAAGAAGGAGAAGGATGAGAAGAAGGATGAGAAGAAGGATGAGAAGAAGGAGAAGGATGAGAAGAAGGACAGTTCTGTGACAGTTTCTGTCTATTTCTGACAGTTCTGGGACATTCACTCCATACAGCGGTTTCAACCGCTGTATGGAGGGAATGTCATAGAACTGTCAGAAATAGACTATTTCTGACAGTTCTGGGACATTCACTCCATACAGCGGTTGAAACATTGTATCTATTTGTTTCCATAAATGGATCCATTTATGGAAACAAATAGATACAATGTTTCAACCGCTGTATGGAGTGAGTGTGTCATAAATAGTCTATTTCTGACAGTTCTATGACATTCCCTCCATACAGCGGTTTCAACCGCTGTATGGAGTGAATGTCCCAGAACTGTCATAAATAGTCTATTTCTGACAGTTATGGGACATTCACTCCATACAGCGGTTGAAACATTGTATCTATTTTTTTCCATAAATGACATTCTGCAGATTCACTTAGAGGAGCGCTGCAGATACACTTTTTGCCGGCTTGGAATTATTCTTATTTTCATCCTACTTCTTCTTCTTCTTCATCCTCTCATCCTCTTCTTCTTCGAGGATGAGGATGAAGAAGATGAAGAAGAAGTAGGATGAAAATAAGATTAATTCCAAGCTGGCAAAAAAGTGTATCTGCAGCGCTCCTCTAAGTGTATTTGCAGAATGTCATTTATGGAAAAAAATAGATACAATGTTTCAACCGCTGTATGGAGTGAATGTCCCAGAACTGTCATAAATAGTCTATTTCTGACAGTTCTGGGACATTCACTCCATACAGCGGTTTCAACCGCTGTATGGAGGGAATGTCATAGAACTGTCTGAAATAGACTATTTCTAACAGTTCTGGGACACTCACTCCATACAGCGGTTGAAACATTGTATCTATTTGTTTCCATAAATGGATCCATTTATGGAAACAAATAGATACAATGTTTCAACCGCTGTATGGAAGGAATGTCCCAGAACTGTCATAAATAGTCTATTTCTGACAGTTCTATGACATTCCCTCCATACAGCGGTTGAAACCGCTGTATGGAGTGAATCCCAGAACTGTCAGAAATAGACTATTTATGACAGTTCTGGGACATTCACTCCATACAGCGGTTTCAACCGCTGTATGGAGGGAATGTCATAGAACTGTCAGAAATAGACTATTTCTAACAGTTCTGGGACATTCCTTCCATACAGCGGTTGAAACATTGCATCTATTTGTTTCCATAAATGGATCCATTTATGGAAAACAAATAGATATAATGTTTCAACCGCTGTATGGAGGAATGTCCCAGAACTGTCAGAAATAGTCTATTTCTGACAGTTCTGGGACATTCCCTCCATACAGCGGTTTCCGGCAAAAAGTGTATGTGCAGAGTTCCTCTATTCTGCAGATACACTTAGAGGAGCTCTGCACATACACTTTTTTGCCGGCTTGGAATTATTCTTATTTTCATCCTACTTCTTCTTCTTCTTCTTCTCCTCATCCTCTTCTTCTTCTTCTGAGGATGAGGATGAAGAAGAAGAGAGGATGAGGATGAAGAAGAAGAAGAAGAAGAAGAAGAAGTAGGATGAAAATAAGAGTATATCCAAGCCGGCAAAAAGTGTATCTGCAGAGCTCCTCTAGTGTATCTGCAGAATAGAGGAACTCTGCACATACACTTTTTGCCGGCTTGGAATTATTCTTATTTTCATCCTACTTCTTCTTCTTCTTCTTCTTCATCCTCATCCTCTTCTTCTTCTTCTTCTGAGGATGAGGATGAGGATGAAGAAGAAGAAGAAGAAGTAGGATGAAAATAAGATTAATTCCAAGCCAGGCAAAAAGTGTATGTGCAGAGCTCCTCTAAGTGTATGTGCAGAGCTCCTCTAAGTGTATCTGCAGAATAGAGGAACTCTGCACATACACTTTTTGCCGGCTTGGAATTATTCTTATTTTCATCCTACTTCTTCTTCTTCTTCTTCATCCTCATCTCTCTCCTCTTCTTCTTCTTCTGAGGATGAGGATGAAGAAGAAGAAGAAGAAGTAGGATGAAAATAAGATTAATTCCAAGCCGGCAAAAAGTGTATGTGCAGTGCTCCTCTAAGTGTATCTGCAGAGCTCCTCTAAGTGTATCTGCAGACTTCACATGTACAGCGGTTGAAACATCTGTATCCTAAATGTAAACTAATAGATACAATGTTTCAACCGCTAAACATGTGTTCCTTCTGTCAGAGAACTGTCAGAAATAGCGGAGCTCACTGCAGGGACACTTTTGCCGGCTGATCGGGAAATATTCGATTCGCGCACACCCGAAGTAGGCAAAATTTCGGATTCGACGCGAATCGAATATTTCCTGAAATTCGACTCAAATTCCGGTTCGCCTGGTTCAATTCGCTCATCTCTAATCTCCATGGCCACAGGTGTATAAAATCAAGCACCAAGGCATGCAGACTGCTTCTACAAACAGTTGTAAAACAATGGGTCTCTCTCAGGAGCTCAGTGGATTCAAGCGTGGTACTGTGATAGGTTGCAACCTGTGCAATAAGTCCATCCGTGACATTTCCTTGCTTCTAAATATTACACTGTCAAGTGGTATTATAACAAAGTGGAAGCAACTGGGAACAACAGCAACTCAGCCACAAAGTAGTAGGTCATGTAAAATGACACAGCGGGGTCAATGCATGCTAAAGTGCACAGTGCACAGAAGTCGGCAACTGTCTGCAGACTCAGTAGCTAAAGACCTCCAAACTTTGTGTGGCCTACAGATTAGCACAACAACAGTGTGTAGAGAGCTTCATGGAATGGGTTTCCATGGTCGAGCAGCTGCATCCAAGCCTTACATCACCAAGTGCAATGCAAAGCGTCAGATGCCATGGTGTAAAGCACGCCACCACTGGACTCTAGAGCAGTGGAGACGTGTTCTCTGGAGTGATGAATCATGCTACTCTGTCTGGCAAGCCGATGGACATGTCTGGGTTTGCCTGACTGCATTGTGGCAAGTGTAAAGTTTGGTGGAGGGGGGATTATGGTGTGGGGTTGTTTTTCAGGAGTTGGGTTTGGCCCCGTAGTTCCAGTGAAGGGAACTCTTAAGGCGTCAGCATACCAAGACAATTTGGACAATTTCATGCTCCCAACTTTGTGGAAACAGTTTGGGGATGGCCCCTTCCTGTTCCAACATGACTGCGCACCAGTGCACAAAGCAAGGTCCATAAAGACATGGATGAGCATGTTTGGGGTGGAGGTACTTGACTGGCCTGCACAGAGTCCTGACCTCAACCCGATAGAACACCTTTGGTATGAATTAGAGCGGAGACTGCGAGCCAGGCCTTCTCGTCCAACATCCATGCCTGACCTCACAAATGTTCTTCTGGAAGAATAGTCAAACATTCCCATAGACACCCTCCTAAACCTTGTGGACGGCCTTCCCAGAAGAGTTGAATCTGTTATAGCTGCAAAGGGCGGGGCCAACTCTATATTGAACCCTACGGACTAAGACTGGATGCCATTAATGTTCATGTGCGTGTAATCGTCCCAATACTTTTGGCAATATAGTGTATATATCCAAATTAGAGTAGATCACCCCTGCCGTATCTTCAATCCACCACTCAAAGTGGGCTGCCAATATATTCCACCAAAATAGACATCAAATAGTGAGGAATGTAGCTTGCTGAAGAGCATGGTTTTGCTTCAAACTGTGCAGTCGCTTACCTGTTTGAAACTTTGTATGAAGATGGAATTTAGAAGAATTGCTGCTAGATAGAGATTGCTTTCTCATTCTTTGATATATATATATATATAGATATAGATATATATATATATATATATATATAGATAAATATATATATAAAATTTAGAAACCGCACTGGCAAATTTTGCACACATGGGCTGGGTTTATAACGTGTACTGGCAAATTAAAGTTTTGGGTGAATCTTTGTACAATGTGAAGATAAATATGTTTTGAATGCACAATGACTGCTAATGTAGGTGAGCAAACTGGTGGATGCTTACATAGGTAATTACAGGGAAATGCTCAGATTGATGAGTTCAGAGTGGGGACTAAAAGAATTTCAGAATTTTAGAAGGTCTGGTATCACTCCTATGTCCCACACTGATATGCCAAGTAAAAGGAACACCGGTGCCTGGGCTGGGGACTAGGATGTGTGTCAGATGAAGAGGATTCTCTGGCCACTGTAGGTATTGAATAGAGTAAATATTGTTGGTGGAATAAGGAAGCACATCTCTTCTCTACAGAAGAATGTTCTTGTCTACTTTTTAAATTTGCAATAGGGTCACTTTCACATCTGAGGCATTATGTTTTTTTTTTTTCCTTCTGAAAACCTTATTTAGCGTGCAATAGAATATAGTAAAAGTGTGTAGTGTTCTTAGTGATCTAAAGTATATTTTCATGAAAACCTAAGGTAACTTTGACGTAATACAGTATAAGTGCTATGGTACAAGGTAATGCACAGATGCCAACAGCGATAATCAAAAAATGTGTTTTATTTAGACCTACTAAATATGTATCCTGGGTTTGTAGCGAAGGATTATTGCACCCTACTCATGTATGTAACAAGGCAGCACAAGTACACAGCAGTAAGTGGGAGATTATTACTGACTAAGAGACCTTGAGGTTTCCTAAAGATTAACTGAAGAGGCCATGCTGTGTGTGCAGTGAAATTCAGTTCATGTATTAATTGTGTGCATAGGATTTTGTACTCTTGACAAAAACATATTTTTACATATGTGACAAATAAAAAATCCATCAAATATTAGTGCATATACTGTAAATAGGAAGTAGAGTCTGAATACCACCAGCTTCTATTAATAAATATTGAATGGATGTGGACTTACGTTGTGCAGCTTGACGTCTGTGATTGTGTTTAGGAATGAGCTATAATAACAAGCAAGAAGAGCGCACACTAAGTGCAGTAGAGTTAAAAACAAATGCAAATTGGCCACTCACAACATTAAAATAGAAAAGACATGTACTCAATACTCCCAGCATGGCTCCTCTCTGTATTCACACTTGTAGTCATGGATAGCAGGATGAATAGCTGCAGCTGAAGGGCAGACCAAAGTTCTGCAAACAGGCAGTGTGTTGCAGGGAATCTCTTGGATGACGTCACATGTGGGCAGAGCAATGAGCATTGCTACGCGTTTCGAAGAAACTCCTTCTTTGTCAAGCCTCTGTGTACAGGGCTTTGGTCTGTCCTTCAGCTGCAGCTATTCCTTCAGCTATCCAGAATGATAAATGTGAATACAGAGAGGTGGCCATGCTGAGGAGTGTTGAGTTTTCTGGTTTAATTTTGTGAGTGAACAATTTCCATTTGATTTTAACATTTTTAACTCAACTGCACTTAGTGTGCACTCTTCTTGTTTGTTTGTATTTGTCATTTGTCGATTTGGGAGAGCAGCGACAAAGGCAGTAAGAGGTGTTTAATTACTCTTGATAATTCTGATGCCTTGATTAAGGGTTTTTGGTTTTATCCATCTATGGACATGAACTGTTTTTGCTGATGGACTTTTTTCTGATGGACTTGGTCTTTGCTTACTTTCCACAAGCTCTTTTATTTATATTTCCATAGTCCCAAGTATTTTGAGTGTGCAAAAAATGTTTTGTCTTTACTTTTATTTTTGTAGGAATAAGGTAACAGACAAACCCTCATTGCACTTAATGGATGACACTGCTAAAAATCTGAAAGGGGTCCTAACACTTTCAACACTATATCCAAAGCAAATAAAAATGGCTTGAGATACTTTAATTGGACAAATGTGATTAATACTATCTTGGATGGTTAAGCTGCAGGGCACTATTTTACCAACTCCACATTTTCGGTATTGCCCAAACCTACTGTATACCTAAAGATGAGGTGCACTCTTTAGTTAAATTAGTACAGCTGTTTAGAATACTTTGGGTTTCCTCAAGTCATATTCAGATGCAGTTCAAGAAACAGTGTTTCTTGGCTGCATGGGTGATTCTAGACCAGGCATCAGCAACCTATATCAAATGAATGCCTGGACAGGAGTGTGATGCAGTTTGAGATAGAAATCACTATTATTGGTTATAATTGACAAGTTTATGCATTGGGACTGATCTGAGGTCTGAAGTTTATGTATTTGGACTAATTTAAGGTCTGAAGAGCATGCATTTGAGCTGATTTGACGTTTGAGGAGAATGCACTGAATCTGATTTGGGGTCTAAAGTGCTCTAAGGTCTGAATAACAACAATGTGCTATCATTCACTGGCATGCTGGTTGACAAATGTTTGTGAACATGGCACTTAATGTGCAAAAGGTTGCTGACCCTTGTTCTGG